ATTTGTCAACATTACTGCCGACCACTTCAGCCCAAAGAGGGCCCGAACCCAACAGTGGCAACAAAAATGTCAATAATATAAATATCATTAATTGTGGCAAAAGTCGGGCCAAACGTAACACAATATATAGCACAACATTGAATCTCTTGACATCGCCTTTGGTTACCGACAGTGCGATATAATTAGTGAGAATTCCGCTGAAAAAATAATCTCAAAATTAAAATATTTATCACAAAATACCATAATAACATGTAAACATGAATTATATCATTGTGGTAACATTAATGCGTTAATAATACTAATACAGTGTAACAACATTAGATGATGTGTAAATTTAATAACACTTTTGGCTAAAATACCTGATGAGTAGAAAAGTTGAGATACCATAGACTCCATTGAGTAGCGGCTGTACCATGAAGTTTGTCAACAAATCCTTCCCATGAAAGCTCCGGGCTATTAATTTTACAGCATTTATTTGTTTTAATTATATAATATTAATTTCAAGCAAATATTTTTATGGCTAATAATCTAGGACTGACCAAACAACTGAAAATTACTCCATAGAATACTGTGTCCAAACAATATCCAAACAATGGTTAATACTCTGATGCCATGAATACATGATAAATCCCGTGAAGTTGTGGGCGCTATGAGTCTGTTATATGTTTTTCTCACAGAGAATGCTCTGACAAATACAAAACCATTTGAATTCTCTGTAAATATTATATATGGGTTTATAAACATATTTGTTGCCAAAAAAAATTGTTTAATACTTTCAAAATCAAATCTCGAGTCACAAAAAGTCGCCAAAACACACATCAATAGAAAAACAACAATAAAGGCGCTGTAAATAAAAATAATAATTGATCAAAACAATTAGCAATTAGTTAATAAAATTATTGTAAATATTAAATCATTGGGAATAACTTGACATACATTGCAAACAATTGTTTTGAATTGATTAATATGTTTGCTTTGATTTCACATTTCACTGCCTTTAACTCGAGTCCAAACTTGTCTGAAACTATACGCCAGTTATATGTATAATAATAATAAAAAATTATGTTAATTTTACAAATATTACGCAATCGCAAAGTAATAGAAAGTTATTAATCTGTACAAATATAAAATTCTTAACGATAAATAAAAGTGATAAAATCTAATAAACAATTTAAACTTATACTTTAATGTTTGTTTACAGTACTTGCATTAGTGTTGTACAGTATAATTACCTAATTGTCCGATTGATTTCACATCATTTAGTGAGCATTTATTCGGTACACAAACGCCGGTCCGAAATGACATCCAATAAAAAAATGAGGCCTCAGTTGCCATTATATTCAATGCATTGGATTTGTTTTGTATTATATCAATGGGTAATAGATTTGGGATTTTGTGAAACAAATTGTGTTGTTTAGGCATTGGTCGGGGAATATAGGGAACCAAATCCAGGGAACAATACTGAGCCGAACCTATCATATGGTTGTCAATGATTGACAAACACTGATCATAGGATCCAAAGTCCGTAAGACTTCCTTCAAATAATCCTTATAATTGAAAGCATATTTTTAATTCAGAAAACTATGTATAGAAATAGAAGATTACTTAATACTTATTAGACTTACAAATTAGTATTATTATTGAGTAAACATAAAATCAACAAAACATTAATACAAAAATTTAAAACTCCAAAACAAATTTACCTTTTGGTGGGAAATCTGCCCACGAATTGATCATTTGTATGGACCAGTCGTCCAGTCTTTCGATGCCATCCAATGTTGAGAATATACTCTTTGAACAACTTTCTGAAACATGACTTGAATTCAACAATTCTTCAACAAATGGTTTGTTTCTTAATCTAAATTCTTTACTCCAATTCATCACATATTCTGATAATTTTTGCCATAAAACGACTGAATTATTAGCATTACTATTATTATTATCAGCATTTGTTTTTGAATCACTTATTAAATTACACGAAATAACAATTACAACAACAAAATATTTATCAAATGTAAAACACATTTTGTAATTAAAAAATATCAACACTAAAATCTATAAAAATTTAAAACATATTTTTAAGCAAAACTATTTGCAAAGTGTTGTTGACTTTCTATCTCTCGTAAGGAATCAGACGTTTAGAAAAAACTTAAATTTTATGTTTTTGAATGTATTCTTATATAAGTTTTTTTCTGTCTTTTCTTTCGCTTTCTTTATCCTTGAAATGATATACTTTTACGGAACAAAATAAAAACAAAAGTTTTATCCTTCTTCTTCATCATCTCCACTTTGACCTCTCTCTCTCTCTCTCTCTCTCTC